TTACGTACTTACTTACTTCAAAATAACCGGAGTCTATGGTGGGTATGAACTATGTGAATAAGCGGGTTCGGAGAACCCTCGCCTAAGTTATTAATATGACATGTATGTTGTTAATATGACATGTCAATATGACATGAATGTTGCTAATATACCATGAATGTTGTTAAAATTACATGAATGTTGTTAATATTACATGAATGTTGTTAAAATGACACAAATGTTGTTAATATGACACAAATGTTGTTAATATGACATTTATAACTTAAATAAAAGTCATTTATATCATACACCAGTTTTGTTTTCTAAACATTTATTTTATGTTATTTGATTATAGAGCTTTCATTTTGTTGGTGTGACTGTGATGTCTTATGGTGCCGCATTGCTTCTGTCCATGTCTGTGGAGTACCCTTGTGGAAATTTAGAGAAACTATTAGAACGACACCTGACATGCTGTAGAGGCAAGACACAAGACACTGGGTCTATACAGAACTAATGTTACACAAGATTTACTTTCATTCCAATAATAAAGCTGCATTGATTCCTGTATTATGGATCACAGTTTTAGTAATTGTTTTTTAATGTATTTTATGACAATTTTTATATGAAATTTGAAAAAATTAAGAAGTTAAATATTCTGTGCAATTAATATATGACCTCATCATGTAATTTTTTTCTGAATTCTTTTATGGGATATAATTGATATGGCTGCAAGATCGTTTTGTGGCAGTACAATTGTTTTCAAAAACTGAGACTATTTTAAATGGAAATTTATGAAATATTTAGTTTTCAGTAGCTATGGAAGCCATTTGATAACTCACATTACCCATGAGTCTGCTTTTTTAATTACATCTTTTTTACATGCAACATTGAGTTACATGAATATCGTAACTACAGTCTGGTAATCATTCATTCATTATTGTCAAGTTAGGGAACTTTTATGATAGTTCATAGGCCAGTGACCTTTATGGAATAGTTCAGCATCTGAAAATTGTTAATTAAGGTACTTCGCTACCATTAAAACATAAACAAAATTTCGAGCTGCTATTTCGAAACATTTTCCATAGGATTCCACATTATCCATAACACTACAAACCAAACAAAATTTTGATATATGATAGAATGTTTCTGCCATGGAAACCAATTGTAAACTAAAAAATTAATTATTGATCAATTTTCGGGTTTGTTTTGTGGAAAACTTAGTTTGATGACCATATATTTTTTATTTCGGATTTTGAACATTACAGTAACCCAAATCCCTCTTCCTTGATTTAGAGAATTTCTGAATATTTTTTTAAATTGTATCAAACTACTTTACTATTGCTACTTGATCATCATTTTAAATTCATAAAATTGTTATGTTTATTTAAAAACATTTTTATGCCTTTTTGAAAGCATTTGTATGATTTTGCATTTGTGCAAATAATGGAGCTAGTGAATTATAAACGTACTTGAATGTTAATGGTAAAGTTATGATGTGAATGTGTTTTTTTTTAATATCCTTATATGGCTGGAATGAAGTAGATTGTAGATTGATGAAATACTAATTTTTCACAACAATTTTTGTTTTTTAAAAAGAGAATTAACTATGTTTCTGAATGTAAACCTAAAACACCAGGTTTTGAATGAATACATTCAAATATCATCCTAATTGGCTGAAGGTCGAAGGTCATCACATCCCTTTGTGTTTCATGGAGGCTCCACACATTCAACAATCTCAGGGTTGTTATATTTTGTGATTTTAAAAGAATAAATTTCAATCATGAAACTGGTATGTATCTGAGGAATATTAAAATTTAGTGATTTGCTAGTAATATATGTATATATTCTTATTGGATTTTCTTTGTTTTCAAATAAGACCAACTTGTTGCCATTACAGATACATTACAGATTTCTGGCATTTATGCATTGTTGTATGTGTTCAATGAAGCAAATGATTTATCTTGTAATAATATCCTTGGTAATGTATCTCAGAATCCCATACTGGGTTTCAAAACCAACTCATGGAGAGATTGCACAGTCTGATACACATTTGCAAACCTACCAATAAAATCTTTACAGAAAACATGATGTCAGAAAATCAATATAAGCACTCCTATGAACTGGGTGCCAAACTTTGACAAGATCTGAAGCCAATAGAAAATCTATTTAGTCCAAATTAATCAAATACATAATAAATACATAAAAAGCAAAATGTTGCATCCACATTTTGAAAAGAAAATTGTACTAAAACATATGTATTCTGTATTTGACAAACAGTTCATTTGACAAATGAAAATTCATGGGAATTTGTTTCAGCTATTAGAACAGAATTATAGAGCTTTTATAATACTAATTTAAAAACCCACTTCAAAAACAAAGATTGCAGTGTTTGAAGATGTAGATTCTCAGGAGGCAACAGTACTGTTGACTTCTCCCTCCACTGGACACCAACTAACTAAGTTGATTTGCATACAAAGCAGAGCTTTCAACATGATAGCTATTCATAGAGGGTGTTTTTTTTTACTTTTCATATAATACCTAAGTCACACAATGAATATAATAAGGCAGTTCATATTTGTCTCGGTGAATCATTAATTTTTGACAGGCAACTGTACAAATACTTGGACAAAAGCCAGCTAAGATTTCCTGTTATCTTGCATATTTTATGAATCTATTCACGTCTAAATGCAGCTGAGATGAGGCATTTGTTTATATACTAAAATATGAATTACTTTGAATAAAGCTGGAAAATATGTCCCTTAAAATATTTAAACAAATTAGGCACCAATGTTTTTGTATGATATTTACATCTATCAAGGACATTCGGTAGACTGCTTTCCAACTGTTGGTTCAACCCCAAAACTTGTTTGTATTCAAAATTAATCATGACAATGCATATTTATATTGAAGCAAACTATGATAAATATTATATAACAAGGGGCAAGGTCACCAGAGTTCAACTATGTTATTTTTCAGATTAGAATTAAAATGGCCGACTGGCGGCTATTTTGTTTAGATGAATGCATATCGCCGCCATGCTTTGACTGATTATGTTTGAATTGTATATACTCATTATACATCATGTTGTAGATATACAGATATATTGGTTGACTATCTAATTAAAAATGGCCAAAAGGCAGCCATTTTTGTGCTAAAAAATCATCAAAATTCAAGCATTTATGGATAGATTTTGTTCAAACTTAGTACATACGTTAGACATTATGGGTTCCTGGTGCACGTCATTTTATTTTTCAGATTGGAATTAAAATGGCCGACTGGCAACCATTTTGTTTTAATGAATGCATATCTCCGCCATGCTTTGACTGATTACTAGTATGTTCAAATTTTATATATTCATTATACATCATTTCATAGATATATTCGAAATGGTCAATTTTGTTTTAATTAATGCTGTTCAAGAGCAATAAGAACTCGTTTGATGATCAGATACACAATGTCAATAACAATGTTAAAAAATAATCATATTCCTGACATGCTACGTTCCAACTATTACTATAAACAAAACTATATATCTTAAATTTGATAACTAACAGGGACTGTGCCATGCATGGTTTGTTCTATACACGGGGATTCTACAATTAAAGAATGCATAACACAATGCATGCTGGGTATTTTTCTGAGTTACACTTGAAGTTGTCTGCAACCGTTTCTTGAAGATGTTACAATCACAAAATCTTAATATAGTTCCTCAGAGGGGGGGGGGGCGAAATTGAATAATTATTAAGGTTGGTGAAAGGAAATTCTGGATAATGAAAGTTATGGAGTATCAAATGAGAATACTACATGATATGAACAAGACAAACACATATTGAATAATAATAATAATTGAATATAATTTATACCCGGACCGGATTGACCATCCTGTTTTAGGGCCGGAACGTCTTTTTTTACCAGGGCCGCAAGCGACCAGGGCCGGATCGTCTGGAAATCGACCATTGTATGCGTTATCGCGAAATCTAATTCTGAAAGTGAAATTTGAAACTCTTTTATAAATTACGTCTATTCTAAAATAACTGTGTTGGTGCTTGTCGAGCGGGGCTTTGGACGATTTTTATCCGTATTACAACGTTTTGAAATCAGATCCGGTGTAGTTGAAATAGGGAAGTGGTCACTTTGTGAATCTCCGTGAGTCATAAACATTTTGCATATTCATACTATACAATAAACAAGGAAGTGAAACTGATTACTTGTTTGAAAAAGTAAAAGTCACATTTCGGCTTTTTGCGAAGTAGCCGTTCGCTGTTTGCAGGAATCGCATCATTCGTCGTTCCTTTCGCTCCGTCACACCAATCATGGCATCGATATTGTACGTATTCATTAGTACCTTGGCGCTATTTCTTGGTGCCTCGGCAGAAATAGTTGACGTCTTTATCGACCACAAGGTTACCGATTGGCGTACAGGAATAGAGTTTGGTCCATTCCATATTCACAAAGAAACAGGTATAGATTCCCTGGGAAAGCAGGAATTCAAAAACTGTGGTAAGTATATGTATGGGGAGACAAATCAGGACATACGATTATAAAGTCACTCTGGGCCACGGCAAAATCACCGGGCCAAATAGTTTTCTATTGTTACCAAACGCTTCAGCGTGGTATTAAGAGTTTGTTTTCAGGGGTGGGTGATACCAAGGTGGGAAATGGATGCACATATGGGGTTAATTCCTTGAATTGCAATATAGAGGGTTCAGGCTGAAATACAATAGATAGTGTTTTCATGTTTTGTCTGATATTTCTGTGGTATTCTGCTGCTGTAAGTAATGCACGATTTGTTCCGAAATTCAGTATGCTGTGTGCATTTCAGAGTTATTCCACAGGGGGCCCAGGAACTATAATCAACGGTAGTACGCAGTCTCTATGAGCGGGGGGGAGGTATCGGCTGGTATCTAGTGTAAGAAATAGACAAGGGATGAAGGCTCCAGCCAGCTCACATGTTTTAAACTCGAAAAAACAGACGAAAATAATGAAAAATAAAATATTAAAAAAATACCAGGTTGAAGAATATTAGTTGCTTCTTCAAATTTCGCCAAAGCCCTACCTACATTTTACCGATATCTGCAGAATAAATCAAGAAAACTACACAAATTTACTCCATTTAGGAATTCCTAACGGTTTGCCCGAACGCACAGCACAGTTGGAGGCGTGGCCTGTTCAGCATTTGTCAACAACCAATCACAAGACTGGTTACGAACCACATCCAGGTCACGACTCGGTTAGCCTTGCTCAAAATGTTTTATAACTAAAACCGGGCACCTTATACGAGGTTCGCAAAATAACATGGCAGTCATTAGAAGTCACTTTATTTTATTGTTAGGACGTATTCAGCCGTTAAATGTATTATTTCCAACCGTTTTGCGATAGTATTTTCTAGATTGGAGGCAGCATTTACATTTTATTCAAAGTTCAAAGCTGCGTTGAAATTACGTTGACAGTGGTAACAATGTCGGCGCCGGTGATCTCTTACTAGTGCGCAACGTAGCCAAAATAAAAGGTATGATCATTTGGGCACTGCTATTACAAGACTGGTAGGAGGCAATAAATTTGGCGAAAGTATTCAAAAAACAGATTTTGGCTGTTGCCATGGTAGCGGTGGGTCATGATTGTTTTTACCAAACGCTTCAGCGTGGTATTAAGAGTTTGTTTTCAGGGGTGGGCGATACCAAGGTGGGAAATGGATGCACATATGGGGTTAATTCCTTGAATTGCAATATAGAGGGTTCAGGCCGAAATACAATATATAGTGTTTTCATGTTTCGTCTGATATTTCTGTGGTATTCTGCTGCTGTAAGTAATGCACGATTTCTT